TCCATTTAAACGTATTATTCAAACTATTTCAAGTGTTATGTATTTAGATTTTTTTTTTCGTAATTTATTTAAAATTTTAATTATAAAGACATTTATAACGATTAAGAAATGGTTATTCAGTCACTTTTTTTGGGAAAAAAAATTTAAAATTTAAAATTAAATAGTTATTAAGACCAGAATTTCGAACGCTTAAATTAACTTTCAATTTTAGGGGGGGAGGTAGGCAGTGGCAGCCTTTTGCATACCCAGAAAAAGAGGTCTGCGCACGCTTATGACCACCACGTACGATTTGAAAAGTTATTATTAAATAACATCAACATTGTTAGTTATTTAAAGGAAGTATAATTTCAGAAATATTTAAGGTGCCCCATATTTCAGAAATATTCAAGGTGCCCCATAAGTTCTGGGGTTCCGGGACACTGCCTCGCTTTGCCCTATGATAGCAACGTCACTGTTAAATACCATCTTTAAATATTATTAAATATGTCATAAGACAATTTCTTTAAATTGCTAATCTGAGTTTCTACTTGACCGATTTTCTTGATTTTTTTTTTTTTTTTATAAGTGCTGAGTTTACAGATGAACCACAATGAGAAAAATCGAAAAATCTGCACGCGCACACAAACATATATACCCCCACTACTCTTACGTCTACAGCTGTGTTATCGTCATCGTCGACATTTTCTTAAAAAAAACCATAATAAAACACTCTGATTTTGTCATTTATGTAGAACATTCACAGTAGAAAACTACTAAACAGTGTTTTTATAGTGAACTCTTACCTACATAGTATTATTATTTTTAGTTTTTATTTAAAATGGAATTTCGCATAGTATGTGATAGAAATTGTTTTGTTCCATAAACATGTAAAATATTTAGTACGTAATAAAACCATCGAGGTATTCGATTAATAAATATGAATTTAGTGATAAATAATTGAGAAACAAAGAATTTGTGATTGGTAATCTTTCGTATAGATTACCTATTTACCATATAATTTAATGATTACGAAAATTTAATGAACACAGATGACAAGTAGGCTGGTCACCTAACATAACCAGGTGGGGGGGGGGGGGCGAGAAATTTGACAGTATTTTATATGGGGGAGTATTTTATATAGTGGGTTAAGTATCAAATTTAATGTCAGTATTATATCTATCAAAATTCGAGTTCATGCACGAAAAAAGTAGTAGTCAATGACAGCATCGAAAACATGCCATCTTATTATTTTTATTATTATCTTCACTTTGACAATCAAATAAATTAACTTAATTATGAGTATAAAAAAAAATTAGGGTATATGAAAAATGTAATAAAATATAAGGGAGGAAAATGTTATAAAATGTGTTGACGTAATAAACACTTGAATGTAATAGTCGACTTTATATAAATAATACATTTCATGTGTTTAGATTTAATAATAATATTATTATTATATTATTATTATTATATTAATATTATTATATAATAATAATCTTACTGTGTTTGTAGATTATAGTTCAGGTGCTATAATGTGCAATTTTTTTTTTCCGGCACTGTTGACGCCGGATATCAAATTATTTTAGTGTTTGATAATAATATCAATATTCAAAATTAAATTAATCCACTTAAATAATTTCAAATACTAAAACCAAGCGTAATACCCATTCTTTAACTAAAAGATGTGAAAGAAAAAATCGTAATGAAAATCGTTTAAACTAAAATCAGAATGCATTTAAATTAAGTTATGAATGCGATGGATTATTTGAAAAATTAAAAATATTTAGGTAAAATATTTGCAGTTTTCTCGTACAAAAATGTCATGCATATATTTATAAATGTTATTAAAACTTAAGAAATTAAATTAATTTACATTTTATGTTTTTCCTAAACATTATTGGTACCTACATATAACAATATATACATTATACATTTTTAATATTAGTATAAACAATTCAACAACCTTTTTTTTTTTTTACTTTAATCTGACAGTGACGGATAATTCAGCTATTTTATTTTAAGTGTGATTAATTTTGATTTTTTAGAAGTTTTTTTAATTTGCAAGTTTGTGTATTTGAATAAAATTTACATTTAGTTAATATAATTATTATTGAGTATTTAAATAAAGAATTTATATATAGAAATAAATAAATGCGTAGCCAAGAGTATATTATTATATTTGTAATGTACCTACTACCGGTTTCGAATTAAAAATGTATCATCAGGTATATACAGTTATTAAAATCGCCATTCATTGAATATTTGATTCGAAACCGGTTGTACATTACACATATAATAATAATCTATACAACGCATTTATTTAGTTCTTTATATAAACTATTTATCTATATAATCATTTGCGAGTTTTAACTAATTTTTAACATTTAACATATACTAATTTTTGTTTAATTTTATTATTAATTACTATTAATTGAATTAATATATTTTAGTTGCACTTTTTATATTAGGTATGTATGTTGCTATGAATTACTTTTCGTACCAAGGGGATTCAGCGTCGTGGGAAGTCACCATTTTTACTAACTGTAATTTATAATTATATAAAATAAAATTGTACATACAATTTTTTTTAAATTAAATGATAATTACAACTTAGTATATATATATATATATATATATATATATATATTTATATAGATAGATATAGATAGATACATAGATAACTATTAATGTTATAAAATGGTATGTTTTCTATATATATTTCTTAAAACTATTGAAAGTGATAAATAATAGTTGTTTTTGAAATACGACTCCAACCGGATTACTTAGATATAAAAAAATAATGAAACAATAAAAAAAAAATTAATATTAAAAGGTCCTTCCGTGTATTTAGTTTGTAATTTAATATTTCAAAATAATCTTTCTGTCTACCTACTCTTTGTCATGAAAAATAAAAATAATTTTTTTCAATTTAAAGTATTCATGTTTAAGTGATATATTACGTTTTATTTTATATTCTATTGAGTAAAGTAAGGTTAGAAAAGTATTAATTTGCAAAATAATTCCTTGGTGGTACCTATTTATATACAATTTGTATGCTAATGACAAGATGACAATACAATATCGAACAATTAAATGTTACGAAATCTATCCAGTTGGTGATTATAATATTGAACAAAGTTACACTCGAGTAACTTTTATCACAATTATTACACATATATAAATATTTACTAGACGAAATGTTTCAACCTGTCATCTGTAACTAAAAGCCTCGGGATCTCCTGAATAAAGACATTTGTATTTGATTCGTTTTCAGTTTTAACATCACTAAAATGTGATATTTCCCATCGGCGATTGTGTTTAAAGCACATTATTGAAACGCATAAAAATACTGCGTTTATAAATAAAGCTGAAAAAGTTTTGCTGCATCCAATTGCATATTTTAGGGGGGGGGGGTATCCTGGATTTCGCCCCCCCTAGAAGAAAAAAAAGGTTACGATAATACCAATAAATAAAAACTGTAGAAATTATCGGTACCCAATGCACAGGCAACACACAAAATCGTACAAATAAAATACGCCCGAGTATTTACTAAGTGTGTAAAGGTGACGTGTAAACTGTGCCAGTGTTTTTATCACGTGTAAAAAGGTGACATGTAATCTGCACCCAGATAAAATTTAAAAAAATAGAATATTTTTGCAAAATTAAACTTAAGTTCAAAATTACTAATCTCTAATTTATACATAATTCATAACAGCCAAATAATATAATTTAAAAAAATTTAATTTAATTTAATTAAATAAAAAAAAATTTATAATTTTAAAAAGTACATTATTAGGATAAATATTATTAATGACATATTGTTGATATACATTCATCAATAGGAGTTTGATCACTATTATATTTATTAATTAAATTTTGTAACGTTTCTCGTTTTTTGTCGTTTTAGAATTTTGCTATTAAAAAGTTCATTTTTACTATTTAGTTTATTAAATCTTTCTATTTGAATTTCTTTTAACTTTTCTATAAACATACAAATATTTGGATGCGTTGTGTAAATACTAGAATTAAAGTGAGAATGAAATGCCTCGCATGCATAAGTGATTAAATTTGACTCTGCTGATGCTTGAGCACATATTTCAGGTGGATACCTACTTAGCTTCTTCATTTATATATACTTCTACCAAATAATCCGCAAATCTTATTATTCTTTCATCGTCAGGTTTAGATTTCATTAAATAATTACAAAATACTCAGATACACTTCCTGGGCATAGAAAGCAATTTGGGCGTGGTTTACATATTACGTTTACAACATAAACAACATTTCGGGTGTAGTTTAGGTACAAAATAATAAGGTAATTTGGGCACAGTTTACGTATGCTCGAAATGATTGATGAACTAGGGGAAAAAAAAGGCGTTTACCTTTTTTATTATTAGTAATTCTTCGATTGTATTTAGAATAATAATAGAATAATATAATTATTAATTCATAGGTACCTTATATGAATTTTTTTTTTTAATATTATACAATCGCTAATTCTTTAGAAGGTGTTAAACACCCCATTAAAAATGTGAAACGTGAAAACACGCTGTTTTATTGGAAAAATGGTCGGTTTTCCTTTTAACGTGGGCGTTTCAAAGTACGTGCCACGTACACCATGTTTCGGATGGATTTCATTGCAAGTCGACTAGTGTAGGACGTAGAAATATGCGGTGTTAGAATACGTTTGGCTGAACGGTGTGAACGATTCGCGCGGTCCGTCCGTGGAAATCGGTCGCACCCGTAATCGAAATTCCGCGCGGTCGACGATGTTCACACGGCGATGATTCCCACAGCACGTTCATCCCCGGACGCGACCGGGCCGGTCGACGGAACAGCATACCGGTGCGGTAACGCGACGACAACAACACGAACGCGGTTCCAGTGACCCGGCGGTTGAATAGCGCCCCGCGTGCGCGCGCGCGAACCGTCGACACTACCGCCACCCGTCCGTGAGGCACGACCGCGACCGAAACCACCTCGGCGCGACCGCGTGTACGTTGCTTAGCAGGCGTTCCACTCGCACACGCACATGCGTGCGACGGACCTCGACGACACGAAACACCGTTCTCGGCATGAACCGCGTCCCGCGACACGCGTCGTCAACAGTGATCGGTCGTCACTCGTCGCATGTGCACGTACGTCGTCCAACCGCCCGCCACGCACCGTCTGTCAGCCGCCGACCGTGCTGCTGACCAACAGCTGCCGGAATCGATCGTCCGATCCCGCTCGCGCCATGCATCCGTCGTCACGCTGAACCGTCCGCCGTCATCGTCTTCGTTTCAACACGCTCCGGGCGTACACCTATGTGATGTCGGCACTGGCCGCGTAGATCAGACCGCACCGTCAACCGTGTTGTGCGAGGTAAGGAACGCGTTGTGTTTCGGTCCTCTGTTCGCGTCGGGTCTCTCGTCGGTAGAAAAAAATTTAAAAATAAAGGAAAACAATCGACGGAACATCAACAACATTCGTCGCGATACCGTTGTCCGCTGTTAACCCGGCCCGGTGCCGCCGTCGAAAAGCGCGCCGGTCGTCCACGTTTTCCCGCGCGCACGCGCCCGCCGACAACGGTCCGTTGGACTCTCGCGCGATAAGTTCGAAAACGTTCGCGGAACCGACGCGCGTTTGCCGCACCGAGATCATCCCTTGTCGTCATGACGATTTTTGACACTCGTATCACTCTGCACGTTCGAACACAACCGATGAATTGTGTTCGATCCGATACCGTTGTTTGTTGTTTAAAAAAAACATTGCAAAACCACTCGTTTTGCATTGTACAACACGTCAATGGGAAAATAAACAAATAATACCAAACTCTGTTGTCACAATATTTGTATGAACGTTGTTCACACTTTTTTACCGATTGTATGTGCACAAGCTATTCGTCACAGTACTTGCAGCTGAACGTATATTCTTCTATCAACACCGATGTTTTCGAAATTTTTATTTACTTATTGATCCTTTGTTGACATCGGAGTATCTGTATGAGGTTTAACGAAAAACGCAAAATTATTCGTAGCAGAAAAATAAATATTTTCTTAACTTCTTTTGGAATCCATATCCACATGTAGGTGTATTATTCTTTCTTGGATTAATTTTATAATCAATGATTTAAGTTGTCCCGAATGTTAAAGAAATCTCGCCAAATCTTTCTCGGATCAACGTCGTACACATTATCATCGTCGTATTTAGGATTTCTTGAATTATTCTTGTTCTCCTTTCGATATTGATGTTACTAACGTGGAGTTACACGTCACCTAAAGAGTTACAACGTCGTATGTCTATAATTAAAAACAAAAATAAAACTAACTGGCTTAATTTTCAATTATTGAAGATATTAATTTAAGACACTTTCAAGACTTACAGATGTATGGAACGTCTTAATTCTTTGATAGCAATAATAAATAGGCGGATCACAAATAAATGACCAGAATCAAAGATTGAGATGTGAAACTACGTATCCAATTTTCATGTAGATATAAAATATGTCATTATCGATGAAAAGCTAATTATTTTGCTATACGTTATACAATTTGAATATAGCTTTAATAGTTCTTGGATAAGTAAACTATCGGTTTGCAAGTATATTAAAATGTATAAATGGTAGGTATTATTAATGTATTGATGATTATTAAAATATGGTAGGTACACATTAAGCTTTTTTTTTTTAAATACATTTTAAAAAGTAAAACAGTAATGCAATGAGTAAACACGTCACAGTGCCACGCTGGTAAGTAAGAAAAATTACATGACATACGAAAACGTTGCCATAAAAAAATTATTGAAGAGTTAAAGAAATAAATAATGCATAATAATTATATTAAGAACGTAAAAATAATAGTAGCGTCATTCACGCACTCCAGCTCGATGTTCTTTGATGTTAAATTACACCTATCATCTAAGTCGATCAATACGTCCACTAGGTAATGAGTACATTCATTCATAAGACTTAAATGTTTCTAACGATGCGATGTGTAGCATTTTTACTTAAGAAATATTTGACCATTAAAGATTGGTATAAATAGTCATAATAGTTGGATTCAATTTCTATTTTTGGTAGTTGGCGACTAATTTGTTGATCATTGTCATTCGTCAGTCGATGGTATTCTGGTTCAGATAGCTTGTATAATATTATCGTCACTTATCATTAAATATATTCAATCATTAATAATTATTTAAACTTCATAAATCGGTTTGGAAATTGTATTTTCTTATCAATATCCATACCAGTAATTCGCGAAGTAAAACCATTTGTTATTTTAAATCTAGCTTTAACTACATATTACCATGTAAAATATAATAATTACTCTGTGTTGAAAAACGTTGAACCCGTCACTAAATTTATCAAAACTGTACAATTAACATTAGTTATATTGAAATACATTACTCATTATAGTTTATAATTGATATATTTTGTGGGCTAAGACTCACTAACTTCCCATATTTTTTAATTTATGGTTATAGTCTAAATCAGATATCAGCAACTGGAGACCCAAAGGTTATCTTATTAAATTTAACATTAAAGTTAGAAAATAATAATAACTTCACCTTTTTAAAAAAAAACGTTTAACCATCACGGGGTTAGTGCGTTAATAGTGCTTTCAATTTTTATAATAGCAGATACCTATGTCTTTTATTACTGATAATACATATATATCGTATGAAATGTCATTCTGAATATGTTATACATGGCAACACTGTAATATAAATATTTGATAATGTATATAATAAGTGAACATTAAAAAATATTCGTTTATATTAGCACTGGCGCTTTCAATCTGTTCTCCCTATACATTGACGGTTTGAAATATGTTTAGATAACGGTATTACCTTGAGTAATACAAAAATTCTATCTTTTGAAATACTATTAGATTTTACAAAAAATTTAATTTTTAATCAGAATGTATTTCACATACAAAATATGAATTGCTTATACAGTTATATAAATAACTCAAGAAAAAATATGATAATCTTCGTGAAACCGTAAGTCTAGAATTTTAGTATGTATTTATGATGTAAATTGAACTCATTTGTGTGTCGCACTTTTCTATCACAGAATAAAAATTTTTGGTCGCCCAAATTTTAGTCCACTAACTTGAAAAGGCTTGGCAGTTTTCCCGGATAGAAAAAAAATTATATATTTTTTGTATTATTTAGATACACTATTTATCAAGATTTTTGTTAACTATGATTATAGAAATTTAGATTTACCTAAGAGGAACATATTTACATATGTGTATGCAGTGGCGGTTTAGGAGGCAGGCTAAAAGGCTTATATCCTAGGGCGGCTTTTTTGGAAGAGCATATTTTTATAGAATTAAGGGTTATTATTCACTTAGGTATATTTATTTTAATATATATTTTTTTATATTTGTCATATAAACACGAATAAAAATAATTTTAAAAAGTTATAATAATATATTAATATGTATATTGTATGATGCGTACCTAGAAGCTATAGTAAGAATATTACAATTATTATTACAATTTGAAAATATTACATTTGTAATAAAATAATTACAGATAGTTACTAGTTATTATTAATAACTTATTAGTACCTATGTACATATTGGGAACATCCGACTATCCGAGTATAGGTATTTTCATATCTGGCTATTTATATTTCCGTTATGTGACTGTATAAGCATTGTTTATTTGTACTGGTAATAATGATATCTGAAGTAAAATAACAGACATGCAATATTATATTTTTAGAAGTTTTCTGTTTTAAAAATTGAATATTTAATTTTTTTTTTTTTTTTTTTGATAAAAAAACTGAAAAAAATTTGAAGAGAAGGGTTTAGACCAAATATTGTTGGATCCTTATTAGAGTTATAGGGGGGGGGGCAGAGTGATTAAGCCTAGGGGTGCCAAAACGCTAAATCCGCCTCTGTGTGTATGGTTATACAATGAAAAAGTGTTTAGAAAAGCTGTCTGGATTTTATTAATTTTGCTCGGTATCAAAAATAAACCAGTATCTTATCTTTTAGTTGTTCTTATTCGTGTATGCAATTACCATTTATTTTATATTGTAAAACATTTAAAATGAATTATTAATGTAGCTGTGTCATGTAATTTATTTACTTTTTTTCGTTATTTTAAAAGTTTTTTAATAAGTGGCTCATTAGTTTATAGAATAGCAAGTTCTGCTTAACCCACTTACTCGTAATTTGACCCAGAAACTTATCACAATTTTGTTTGCGTGTACAAATCAGTATAAGTATACCATGGACGTATTTAAAACTATTGTGCTTTACATTTCTTTACGATTTTAATTATACATCATCCGCAGAATCTTAAATTTTGAACAATCGCTTCTATAATTCCTCATTTATTTTACCACGGTTCTTAGTTAACCATTAAGATACCATTAGATAACCAGCTCTATATACTTTGCTACAATGATTTTAATTGTTAATTCTTTTTAGTCTATTTATTTATAGCTTCATCAATCCTTATCAAATGTTTGGTATTAAAAAGTTTGGTATGAACTTTTAAAACATTCTTACCCAAATTATCTATAGTTACAAATTATGAAAAACAATATAATTGTCACATAGCTAATATTCTCTAATTCATTCCGAACATAGAAATAAAATGTTTTTTGAAATTATTAATATAAATAATTTGTACTGAATAACCTATAGAGTTGCGATTATTGAATGACATAAAATTATCTAATATCTCGGTTGTGGTCAATATTTAACGTCCCTTTGTTTTACTAGCGCTATAGTCAATTGTCCAATTTTCCAATTAACAAAAAACCATAAAAGATATTTCAATGATTCATACTTTATATTATAGAACCTTGGAGTCTGAATTCTATACGATATTAATATAATATCAATACTGTGTCACAATTTCTTCTATGTTTACGGGATCACTGAGGTGTATCGATTTCACAATAATGTTTCCATGTGTGTAACACCGATATTTTTTTTACCTTTATTATCTGGATCTGTTTCTTTATTTTTTTGTATGCACCATCATATCTGTTTGTTCTTATAATTGAGGTCTTAACGATGGCACAAGGTTGAAGTATATAATACTCTCACTGCAAAATATCATTGAATATCTTACTATACTAACATATAATAATATTAAAAAATAAATTACCACATGTTATACAACGTACGGATTGTATCATTCAAATGAACGTGTGTATATATTATATATTGCGTGTCAATTTATTACGAACACTGATTTTTGTGATAGGTGTGTGAAAGGATACTGATACAAGATAGTCTCTTCGCATTATTGTCTACATTTTTGAACCACGCTCCATGGGACTTAAAGTTTTGAAATTTGGCACACAATAGATCCACAGAAATAGAAATCGGGCTCCCTACGGATGTTGCGTACAATTCAGAATAGTCTACCATTAACATTGTCAAACTGACTTTTTTTTATTTCTGAACATATAAATTGCATTTATATAATCGTAAAATTATCAACAAATAATAAAATACCCGCCCATTGATGCGATTAATAGTATTATAGAGTAGCACATCGAAAAATATACATGAACAATATTATTTTTATTTGCGAACATTTAGATTGCAGTCGCCATGTCTGAATACCACGATGACGCCAAATACCGACCAAAGCGGTATCAATCTATTGGCAAGTTATTCAAAAAACGTTTACCTATCGTTTCTTGGCTGCCCAAGTACGATGTAGATCAAGCTGTCAGTGACTTAATCGCTGGGGTTACTGTTGGACTAACCGTCATTCCTCAGGGGCTAGCGTACGCTACGCTTGCGGGTTTGGAACCACAGGTGAGACAAATAATTTAAACTCGTAACTTGGTTAAAAACTATTGATACTTAATATAAATAAACGTAGCGTTATTCAACAAATTATGTTATATAAATTAAATGTATATTTTAATTATTCAAATGCATCACTTTACCGCACGTCAATTAGGTATAATATATTCTTTATTAATTATTTAACAAGGAGATATTATATTTTAATTTCTTTATTATTCCTTTATTTCACAACTTATTAGTATCTATAAATAAATTATTTGGTATATATTTTAAATCAGGGCCGCCCCGAAGATGAAAATCAAGGGGAGGGGAGGGGGTAAATAATATGAAAAATGCCGACTACAATTTTTTACTCAATGTATGTAGTATAATTAACTATATATATGTAGTCGTATTTTTACTTTTTAACATGTATACATGTTTCAGTGTCGCACGTTCTTAAAATTGACAGTTTAATTATATATATATTTATATAATAATATTTTATATTGTATAATAAGTAGTAGTTGTATACATTTTATTCGTGTACACAATGTATTCCGAAATATGTAATATTCGTTTTCCGTAAGTAGAATTATGCCCTTCTAGGCTATAATGAAACAATTTCGACTATCGACTGGTGTTTTCGTTGGGGGGGAGGGTGATACCCCCAAGACCCCCCCCCCTTTCGGGACGGCCCTGTTTTAAATTGTTAAACTGCTTAATTTTGAAGTACGAACATTTGAATGTTTAATAGATACGTATTAACTATTTTAAATGTATCAAGAAGTATGTAGTTTTGTTCCTATATTTCTTTTATTGTTGGAAAAATTAAAACACTTGATTAGGTTGTATAATATGTAGATACTGTGCATTTTACATGTTTTGACCGATCTTATAGGTATATTCATAGGCGTGTCTACGGGGGTGGGAGGGTGGGCACCGGCCTCCCCAGCGACGTTCTTGGCCTCTTGGCTTATAATAGTGAAACCATGGATATATATATAGTATCTATATCCGTGGCTGAATGAAAGGTAATTTTAAGTAAAAGGTAAATTTAAATTTTAAATTTATTGAATTTTACTATCTGTAATATTTTAATAAAAAACTGTTTATTGTGTAATAACTGTAAGTAATAAGATGTGTAGAGAAGGTTTATGGATACATGATAAAATATTTATAAAAAATAACTTAGTAGTACAATAGTTAATAGGCCTTATTTATAAGTTTATAGTTGTAATAGCATAGGAAACCAATTTTAAGATCAAAAAAATCTTTGATTTGGCAGAGCAAAAAAATTCTAGTTGCTATATACTTTCCATACAACAAAAATAAGTCACAAATATAGATATAGATTATAGATCGCTGTAGTAAGTAAAACATTTAAATTTTATAACTGGCCTCCCCAGCTATGAAGGTCTGGACACGCCTATGGGTATATTATATTATATAGGTATATTATATTTAAAATGTTACTTTTTGTCTACATTTTGGTCTATTCAATTTAAAATCAACAGTCTTATTTTTCAATAAAAATATATTCAGGATTTAGCTTAATTTTTTCTGAAAATAAATATTTTTAGGATGAACATCGCAGTCTATTTTATTAATACTTAGTAAAATAATTAGTTGAATGAAAATCAAATGACTCGCCTAAAATGGTAAAATACGAGTATTCATATAAACTATATTACGTTTATGGTATTACAAATCATAATACGTAAATACCGTTATAGAAATCGGATTGTGTGTATGGAAAAATGTATTCTAGTATATTGATATTTTCATCAAATGGATCATAATTTTTCTAAAAATTAGGCGTATTGTCATTTTCGTAATATTTGATTAGTTAATAATATGTCGTAGTGAAATTCAGAATTATGATTTGATCAAAACTTATATATTTTCAATCCATTAATAATTTTTATCTTATTTTTGTAGCATTTTTCTTCGAATCTCATATTAAGTAACTTTGTTTGAATCGAGGTTTGAAATTTAGGACTTAAAACAAAAACTTACAATAAACCTAACCCAGTTTTACCATAAATGTATAAATTATTGTTGGTGTTTATATATAATGCACTCATATTTAAATTCTTAGTATAAGCATAATTTAATCACAACAACACAATTCCCTGTTCTACTTTGAAGCTTAATAAATACACCAAGATGCTTAATAACATATACTAAATATTTATCATCAAAAAAATAGTTAATAAGAGTTCTACCGGCCATTTCGCTTTTGATGTTATTGGATAAATAATACTTCCTTGTGTGTTACTTGACTCTATATTATAGCATTTTGATATATTAAACAAGAAGCGATAAAGTTCCGGTTGACTTTGTTGGCTTCTTTGTATATATATATGTAATATGTGAACTATTTTATAAAATTTTTTGTGTTGCATTTTTTAATATTGAATTATGTACTCGTATACATAGTGTCCGGTCAAATGTCTTTGGTACACACAGTACCGGATCTAAAAATTATATTACCCGGGATATAATGTAATATTAGTGCTTCTAAAAGTTACCAATAAAAGTTCACCTAAAATTAGTTAATCACTTTCATTGGTACTATGTTTTATTTAGAATATGCATATGCTTTTAATCGAAATGTATGAACTTGAAAATTTGAACATATGCATTAATAGTACGCTTAATTAGTAAATCTCTTATATAGAACAGGGCTTGAAATCGATTTCAAAATCGATTTAAAATATCGATAAAAACCGTTAAAAATCTTTTAGAAAATCAAAATCAAAATCAAAATTGTTAATGATTGATAATGATTTTCAAAATGTATACTAAAATTGAAAAAAGTTAAAATCGATATTTTATATCAAAATCAAATTAATTTAAAATTCAACAGCCGACAGGTCTATTTATATTGTCAATTCATTGACATTGCCATATTTGGTAATAATATTGATTATACATAATAATAAATATCTATTACCTATTTTGTTTTCTTATAATATTTATGATAAGGAATCAGTGTTCGATGAGCGATTGTTGTTTTTATACACACAATTTATTCCGTATAATATACTATAAATAGAAATTTTTTAGTATATTATTACGGATATGATTAATTATAATATTAATTTATAATACTCCATTGGCTGTCACCCGTGAGTTATACTTTTAACCAATAATATACAATCAAATAACCTAAAATAGTTTTATTTTGTACTATTGCAGTTTTGCTAGGCGTCGTCATATTTGTCCCACTTATAATTATTATAAGTGGGACAAATATGACGACGCCTAGCAAAACTGCAATAGTACAAAATAACACATAATAATACATAATAATTTTAAATTATTTAAAACATTGTTCTCATATTTAGTTAAATTATGTCTGAGTCTATGAATAAAAAACTTTATTTTACATTTTAATCATTTCACATAGATGTATCCCTAGTTTACTTCATTTTAGCTTCACTTTCATATTATGTTTTTTCATGTTTGAGACACTTAAATAATAATTTGTAGTTAGTACGAAATGTTTTATAACATAGGTAATAAAAAAATGGATTTAAATATATACTACCTACATCAGTAGTTTTTCGCTACAGTCTACAATACTATTGTGCTGATGATGAACTAACATTTGAAAAATTATTATAAGTCATGAATAAGTTAACCCACCACAATACTTACGCAACTTAATTACGGAGAAACGTCGAGCTCGTTCTAAATGGCAAAGAACTCATCTCCCGAGCGATAAAACTACATACAACCAACTTACTTGTAAATTGAAGAATCTTCTAAGGAAACATAATTCAAACTCTTATCAAAATTACATTAAATCAATTACAAACTCAGACAAATCTTTATGGAAGGCAACCAAAAATCTTCTTAAGGAAAAAAACATTGTTCCTCCTCTACGTAACCCTGATAACTCATATGCTATATCTAATATAGATAAAGCCAATCTTTTTGCTACGCATCTTGCAAATAACTTTTCTCCACATCCAGATATAAATATATTAGAACACACTGATCATATAAAACAATCTTTAGACACCTCTCTCCCTATGTCCTTTCCAGCTAAGCATACATCCCCTTCAGAAATTCTATTCATAATCAATAAACTACCAAAAAACAAATCTCCTGGTCACGATCTCATCACTAACCTAATAATCAAAAACCTTCCAAAAAAGGCAATAATTCTTCTTACCTACATATACAACTCCATACTACGTCTATCATACTTCCCAGCAACCTGGAAACATTCCATTATAATACTAATTCATAAACCTGGAAAACCTCCAGAATCTCTCTCCTCATATCGGCCTATTAGTCTCCTCCCTACCCTCTCTAAAATCCTTGAAAAAGTTCTCCTTAAAAGAATCTACCCAATTATTAATGATCTTAATATAATCCCTAATACGCAATTCGGCTTCAAAAACAAACACTCAACTCTACACCAAGTGCATAGAATAACTGATATTATCTCCTCTTCTCTCGAAACAAAAAATCATTGTGAAGCTGTTTTCCTCGACGTTGCCCAGGCGTTTGACCGAGTGTGGTTAGACGGACTTCTCTACAAACTCCGCTTCCTTCCGGCTCCTTTGTTTCTTATACTTAAGTCCTTCCTAACCAGTCGCACTTTTGCAGTCCGCTATTTAGATGATATATCACATTCACATCATATCACTGCAGGTATACCTCAAGGTAGCATCTTAGCTCCAACTCTTTATAACATCTTCACCTCGGATATACCTCACTCTAACGACACTTTTATTGCCACATTCGCTGATGACATTGCTATAATCTCCTCTCACTCTGACCCCGATCAGTCCTCCAAAGGACTCCAGGATCATCTGATACAGCTCCAAAGCTGGTTCCGCCTCTGGAGAATAAAAATTAACGAATCCAAATCTAGCCACATAACCTTCACTCTACGCTCTATTAACAGTCATCCCCTATCCATCAACAACAACATAATCCCTCAACAAGACAATGTTAAATACCTAGGCATCCACCTTGACAAAAAACTAAATTGGTCAAATCATATAAAAATTAAACGTAAATCTTTAAATTTACGTCTTCATTCTCTTAGAAATCTATTACGCTCCAAAATTCCACTTAGAACCAAAATTCTAATATATAAACAAATTATAAGACCAGCCATGACTTACGGCATTCAAATTTGGGGAGCAGCTAAAAAGTCAAATATTAACATACTCCAATCCTTCCAGTCTATAAGCTTACGCGTCATCACAGGTGCTCCTTGGTTCGTCAGCAACCAGTCCCTCCATAATGACCTGAAAATCCTAACTCTTCCTGAATTAGCCTCTCAATCCTACAAAAAACTACACACAGCCATAATTAACCATCAAAATCCACTTATCTCCAATCTCCACTCTTTAACTAACCCCATAAATCCACTTCGTCGATTAAAACGACGTTGGCCCAGAGATCTACTAATCTAAATTAACATTCTGATGAGTAGAATGACTTTTTGAAGTGGTGTCAATGGACGCTCCCTTCTCTCAAGCCTTCATTTTTTTTTTTTTTTTTTTTT